TCTGGGGTCAGCCCTTGTTCCTCCTGCTTTGCTTCCAGCGTGGGGTGCTCCCTACCCCGCGCCCCGTCTCCATCTCGGCACGCCTGCGGGCAACCCCGCTCTGTCCCTTGGAAGAGCTGAGCCTTTCTGCAAGGGCAGCAGGCGTTGTCCCCTCTTCCAGCTCCAGGGAGGTGCGGGGAAGCCTGTTGGGCTGCAGATCTTCAGAAGCAGGAGGACACCTGGCGATGGCAGGGTCCGAATGCTGCTCCGGGCGGGCTGCGCCCCAACAGAGCGAGGGGATGGGACCTTCTCTTCCCTGACCTGCCCATGTTGTTGCAGACGGTGGCGGACTGCGTCCTGTATTACTACCTGACCAAGAAGAATGAGAATTACAAGAACCTCGTGAGAAGGAATTACCGGCGGCGCGGGAAGAGCCAGGTAAGAGCTGGAGGAGCGCGTGGAAACGTCATCGGTCGGGCTGCGCAGGGAGCTGTGTTGCTTTGCACTCGCGGCTTCTCGGCACCGCTTGCTGCGAGCCCCCCAGACGCTGCTTTTCTCCCCTCCCCAGGCAGAGATCTTGCTTGCAGACTGCGATGGGGCTGTGGTTTCGCTCCGTGTAGCTTTTCAGAACGTGGTGTTTTCTGGAAGTTGATGTTTGTCCGTCCCTGTGCCAAGGTCACAGTAGCTTTACAAAAGCAAACAACAAACCCAAGATGCTGGAAAAGGGGGACGGGGTGAATGCAGAAAACCCGGTCACGTGTCAGAAGTAGCGCGCGATTGCCCGTGCAGCCTGCGGCTGTCTCTGTGCGAGAACCGAGCGGGGCCCGTTTCTCTCTCCCCTTCAGAGGCCGCCGGCGTGCCGATGGGAACGGGTTCCCGGGAGCTGGGTGGGGATGCTCCTGCCTTGCAGAGCCTGGCCAGGGCGTTTCCTGCAGGCAAAGGTCTGGGAGGAGAATGACTTGGGTAGCAATGACTTCTGGTGACCGCCTGAGTGTATGGAGCTCTCTGAAGTGCCAGAGGGTGCCTGAGATCCCCAGGGGGGCTGGCAGATTGGTGCTGAAGGTAGAGGAGACCCGTAACCCTTTGGGTAAGGGACAGGCAGGTACCCAGGGCACCTGGGGTGACGGGGAGTAGGTGACTGCATCAACCCTTGCCGTTACTATGGCCAAGATACAAATCTAGACATGACCATGCCAGTGTCGCTGCTGATAACCACGATACCAAGGTACCCAGACAGAAGTGCTGACCTTCTGGGCAGGCACCTTGTCCCGGCGGATGCTTTCAGCCAGAAGAAGGTCCTGCTGGTAGATCCCCAGGTCCATGAAGGGAACAATTATCCACATCATGAGGAGAGTGAGGAGACCACAAAGGGACTATCTCTCCAGATAATGTGGGGATAGGGATGGAAAAACTGGCCTGGCCCGTGCCACCACTGACATCAGCAGCTGCTCACGCTGCATGGCCATAAAAAGCAGCACTTGGGTCTGGATCCTGATTGGGAGGCAGATAGGTAGCCTTGCTCCAATTTGATTTCTGCAGCATTAAGACATCAGAATAGCTAGCAGATGACGAATGTCATGGACGGGGCCCAATTTTCCCTTCTTTTTTCAGAGACATTGGAGATGGATAAAGCCCTATTAGATTATCCAGTCCCTCTCCCAGCAAACACAGGGTGGTTCCCCTCCAGTACATTTTTATAGTGTTTACCATGGTCTGTTTTGTTAGATCACAGCAACTAGAACATGAGGCCACATTTGTTTCTTGTTAGCAGTGGAGACATTTAGCGCAGCTCATTCTGGTTTCGACGTTAAGTTGAGCAAGTAACAAGTGTGGAGGGAGAGAGGCAATCTAACACTCTGCTCTGCGTCTGCCAGCCTACCCCTGCGGCCTCAGACCTGCCCGTCCTGCGCCCAGCAGGTACTGTTCGTAGTTTGGGTTTTAGAAGGATCCAGAGCGTCCTTGGCTGCAGAATCTCCCACTGCGCTTGCCCTCGCTGAGGAGCCTGGTCTGACCTGGGCAGTCGCGATCGTGCGCTGCCGTTCAGAGCCTCGCTCAGCGCCAGCCGTTGGAAGCAGGGGCTTGCTGCGTCGGCCGCAGTGAAAGGCAGGACAGTCTTTGCAAGCAGGGGACGGCAATGTTGGTCGATCATTAGGAGGGAGGCTGCTGCGCTCCGAGGGGAGCAGACTGCAGGGCTGCTGGAGCAGGACTCGACCAGAACATTATTGATTTTGAAAGAAGGATCCGATGAGAGGGACTTGGGGGTACTGATAGACGAAAGGCTGGATGTGAGCTGGCAATGTGCGCTGGCAGCCCAGAGGGCCAACCATGTCCTGGGCTGCATCAGGAGAAGAGTGGCCAGGAGGT